CTGCACATGGGCGGCATAGATAAGATGGTCGCTTATGCACTGGGATCGAGGCAGCAGTGCAATCCGATCCTATCTGTGACTGAGCACCACATTCGAGGAGCCACTCTGCTCACCCCACATGGGGGAGAGGTAGAAGAGGTGCCCTAAACATAGCCTGACTGGGCAACCGCACCCAGTAAGGTCATCCTTATGCAGTCGAAAACACAATCATAATCACAGATCAAAATAAAAACAAATTATACAACCTCTTATGGTCGCTGCATGGAATGTCAGGACCCTTCTGGATACTGGCACAAAAAAGAGTCCTGAAAGAAAAACCGCCCTGAAAAGAGCTGGCTAGGTATAACATTGACATAACAGAGATTAGTGAGTCCCAGCTCCCAGAAAAGGGTCGACTCACAGAACGGGGGTCTGGTTACGCCTTCTTCTGGAAGGGTAAGCCTGCTGCGGAGAGAGACCTCATTTATGGAATTGGCTTTGCCATTCGCCAACGCGTCCTACATAGGCTAACTGAAATGCCCATTGTTATCAACGAGCGCCTCATGACGCTCCGAGTCTCACTGAATCACTTACGTCATGCCTTCTTGATCAGTGCATACACCCCAATACTGAAAGCAGAGGATGACATCAGAGAGGCCTTTTATGCCGACCTTGACGAGAGTGCTAACCTCTATCCCCAGAGAAGATAAGGTTGTGCTCCTTGGCGACTTCAATGCCAGACTTGACAAAGATGCTGACATTTGACAGGGAATCATAAGGAAAAATGGACTAGGCAAGTGTCATCCCAACGGCCTACTCCTCCTCAGCAAATGTGCTGCACAAAACCTCACTATCACCAATACCTTGTTTAGGCAGTGCCAAGTTCAAGGGTTCGTGGCAACACCGACGATCCAACCACTGGCATCTACATCATTGTCAGAAAGAGATCGCCGAGATGTTCTCATCACCCGAGCCATACGTGGCTCAGACCGCTGCGACACTGATCATCGGCTCGTCAGAGCCAAGCTCTCACTTCACGTCACCCCAAAACAGTGAAGGCACCAAGCTTCCAAAAGAGCTTTTAACAATAAACATCTGGAGGAGCTCGAACGTGGGCTGATAAACAACCCAACAACAAACAACCCAAATCCCAGTGCCGAATGGGGTATTCTCGACACTGTCATGATAAAAACCTGCAGATCGAAAGAATACATCAGGACTGGTTTGATGAAAATTACCTGGAAATCAATGTTCGCCGATGATAAACGTGCTGATTTAACTGACTGGCAGAACAACCCTCATTCTAAGACCAAAGCAAATACCTTCCGCAAGAAGAAAGCGGCGTCCCAGCGGGAACTTCGCAATCGAAAGAACGACTGGCTTGAAAATAAAGCATGTGAAACACAAAAACTTGCAGATCAACAATAGATACGCAAATTTTTCAATTCCACTAAAACATTTTATGGGCCAATCACTCATGGCGTAGCCCCCCTCCGGTCATCTGATGGTAACTACCTAATTAAAGATGAAGAAGGCATTTTTCAGCGCTGGAAAGATCACTACCATTTGCTGCTCAATCGAAACACCGATGTGGATGTCCTGACTACCCAGCAGGTCCCTCAGCATCCAGAGCTGACCCACCTCAGCTATCCTCCATCCCTGGTTGAGGTAGCTACTGCCATCAAACAGATGAAAATTAACAAAGCCACAGAGCCTGATGGAATCCCAGCCGAGGTGTATAAAGCAGGAGGACCTCTGCTTACCGGCATTCTCACCTAGAGAATATATGGGAAAAAGAGGAAATCCCCCAAGCTCTTAAAGACGCCTCCATCGTCAATATTTATAAGAACAAAGGAGACCGGTCAGACTGTGGCAACTATCGCGGGATTTCGCTGCTGTCCACAGCTGGCAGGAGTATCGCCCGAGTCCTCCTAAACTTCTTGAGGCAAAAAACTTTCTCCCATAATGCCAATGTGGCTTTAGACCATCACATGGCACCACTGACATGATCTTTCCTGCCGCCAGATACAGGAAAAGTGCAGAGAACAGCGTCGAGACCTGTACATGCCCTTCATCGACCTAGCCTAGGCCTTCGACTTGGTTAATAGGGAAGCCCACTGGCGAACCCTCAGCCGTTTGGGCTGCCCACCAAAATTCACCGCCACTGATAGCATGAACGGCAGTGTCATGCACGATGGCACCCAGTCCAAGTTCTTTCCCTCCAAACGAGTAAAAACAAGGATGTGTACTGGCACCAACTCTCTTTTCCAATTTGGTGGGTGGACAATCGGTACTGATGAAGAGTCTTTCAACCCAAGACAACTCAAGGCAAGAACAAGGGTGCCTGCAGCTTCCATTACTGAACTTCAGTATGAAGACGACCTCACCCTTGTTGCTTACATTGAATGCAACCTACAGGATATCCTAAACACCTACAAAGATGTGTATGCACACTTCGGCGTTGGGGTGAATATAAGTAAGACTCAGATTCTCTTCCAGCTTGCCCCTGGTTCAGCTACAGTTCCACCATCCACCCAGCTTAACGATAGTGCCCTCTCTAATATTACCCACTTTCGGTATCTCGGTTCTCCCGTCAACCACCGCAGATATCGATGAAGAGGTTCAACATCGGATCAGATGTGTACCTCAAGCCTTTGGCAGACTCCATACCCATGTCTTCAGCTGTAGGGAGCTGAAATTATCTACAAAGTTGCAAGTATATTGAGCAGTGGTCCTCCCACCTCTAATATGGCAGCGAGACATGGGGCACGTTCCTATCCTCCGAGTTCGCTGGGAAGACAAGAGAACTAATGCTAGTATTCTCGCTGACACCAACTGTAGGAGCATCGAGGCTACCATTATCCATGAACAACTACATTAGACTGGCCATGTTACCCGCATGGACGGCAGTAGACTCACAAAGCAGCTAATTTACAGTCGCTTAACGAATAGTAAATATAACGCTGGTGGGCAAATGAAAAGGTATAAGGATAGTCTTAAGACAAACCTGAAAAAGTGCCATATCGACCCCCTCACCTGGGAGACGTTTTCTCCACATCGTAACGCTTGGAGGAGCACCACACGAGAAATTGTCAATTCTTTCAAGTAAGCCCAACTGCATACCGAGGCAGACAAGCGCCAACGCCGAAAAGAATCTGCTGCCGCCTCTCCCGCTCTAGACGTAGCCCTCCACACATGCAACATCTGTGCACGACCCTTCCAGTCCTGTATTGGTTTCTCGAGTTACTCCAGAGGTCACTAACGAAGGTGACATCCTTAATAACTCGTATCATTTTATCATAGCTAGATGATCTTCATCCTCGATTCCGAGTGACAGCAAAGTAGTAGAGTAGTAGTAATAATAATAATTAACGCTTTATTGAAAGAGCATGGCAGTCGAAGACTGAAAATATACAGTAACATAATTGGGGAATGGGTCTCCTGATTGACAAATAATATACTAGTAACATATGTGATTCAAATATGATTTATAATACTAGGTGGGGAGAAGGTCATACTACAGGGCATTTCAACATAGTGACAGTGCAAAAAGGTAAGACTGACTGGGAGTGAATACACTGGTTGATTACGAGTTGTTGATAATTTTTACAATGGTTTGGACTGGGCTGTTCTGTGTGTGTGTGTGTGTGTGTGTGTGTGTGTGTGTGTGTGTGTGTGTGTGTGTGTAGGAAGGCACTGCTGTAATGGTAAGGGAGCAGCGGCTGACATGACAGCAATAACAGAGAAAACACAACGACTGCTACATCCACCACCATCACTAACAAC